TTCAGTATCTACATCGTCTTCATTTTTTGGCCCTTTCCCAAAATCTAGCAACGTCTAAGAAGTTCTACTCTTATGGTTCTACATGCTTTCATAGATATTTATAGCTTTATATATTCGCTAGCCTTTCCCCGATTACTATTTTTGGTTTTACACAACTGAAGAAATACTAAAATTTGACGTCAAAATGCTAACTGCTAATTGATCATTTGCGACTCACGTGTATAGAGGTCACGAAAGTTGTTTTTAGGTTTGTATTAGAAGTGTAGAAATGTATTCCCTTACAAATTACAGATTACATACACCAAAATGTAGTTTGCAACGTAATCCATTAAATTGCTTAAAATGAGTAACGTAATCTGAATACTTTGGATTACTTGATTTGCTGTAGAGAAGCAAAGACGAGGAAATCTTCACATCATGTTTTGTTTGCTAAAAGGCAATAAAAAAGACTTTACTTAACCATATTAAAACTATTACTGATAGAAGAAGAGGAGATATGGTCCACACAGCATGGTTTAGTCCTGTTAAATCCTGTTATAGACCTGGTTTAGACCTGGTTTAGTCTTGGTTTAGACCTGGTTTGGACCTGGTTTAGACCTGGTTTTAGTCCTAGTTTAGACCTAGTTTAGACGTGGTGTTGGACCTGGTTTAGACCTGGTTTTTTTAGTCCTGTTTTTAGTCCTGGTTTAGCCCAAAATGTGAAAACAGGAACATACTGCTGTGTAATCCATTTATTTCAACAAAGTAACTGTAATCCAATTACCACTCACTGAAACTCTCTGATTACGTAACTCGTTACGTAATATATATTTGAATATTGAATATTCTATAGAATTTTTGGGTTTACTGTCTGTTTAATTCATAAACAAACAAAGCACAGAATTTGCATATATAATTATTCCATGGTTGCTATGGAAGCTCTATAAAGGACACGACGACTCAGTCTGGTCACTTTTCGTCGGAGGCTCGAAGAAAGTGGCAGCTCGAAGTTTTGCTCCTACAATTTGTGCATTTTTTACAAATTTCTTGACGAGTTCTTCGAGGAATCGAGTTACGGTAAGTTTCTGTGCCATATTTGAAGGAATATTTGTAGTTTCTTTGCTGTTAGCTCCTATCAACTGTTGAAATCTGTATCTGAAAGTTGAAATCTTTCGTGTTTTAACGTGTCCTGCTTTCTTTTACTTGACAGATAATCATCATGACGATCAAAACGCGGCCATCGGGTCCAGCCAAACGCAGAAAGATTCGAGGTAAGACAAATTTGTGGTTTTGTTGTGTTCAAAAGTCCGACTACATCGTGACAGCTAGTTCAGTGTTTGCAAGTCGCTCAGTTTTCAGCTTGACTTCCTTGCCAAAGTTTAGTTTTATTACTTTACAATCATGAAAATATGAGTGTTTTACAAGAAAACTACAGTTAATTCATAGTAGTTTGTAAAATTCAACATAAACAGAGCAAAGAGTGTATCTGAACTTGGGTGTGTGACTTTGACACACGAAAAGGACAAGTACTTGTAGTTATTTTTACGAGTCAAAACTCATCCTGTTTTAGTCCTGGTTTAGACCGATTTTAGTCCTGTTTTAGTCCTGTTTTAATCTTGTTTTAGTCCTGTTTTAGTACCGTTTTAGTCCCGTTTTAGACCTGGTTTAAGTTCTGGTTTAGATCTGGTTTAGACCGGTTTAGACCGATTTTGTCCTGGCTTTAGTCCTGGTTTAGTCCTGGTTTAAGTTTAGATCTTGTTTAGACCGGTTTAGTCCTAACATAATTCTGGTTTAGAGGATTACTTCTGGTTTTGAACTATTTTTTTCACGGGGGGAATGGGAGAAATCTTTTNTTTGCACAAGAAGTGGTTTAACAAAGATTTTCCATGATTGGCCCTCGCCACTAACAAAGTTAGGGGCGAGGGGTATTGTTTTTCGTCGGTTTCTTACGTTTGTTTGTTTATTATTATTGGCCCTCGCCGCGCCGGGGCGAGGGCCAATAATAATAAACTGTGCAGGACTTTAAATCGGTCTAACTATATTGAAAATAGTTGGCTGTTTTGGCTACTTGCCGAAGAAGTAATCCACATTTTTAAGAGTTTTTGTAATTAGGGACTCAACTTTCAATCTCCAAAACATTTAGGAAGGAATCAGATTTTAACCATTTTAATTTCCAGGTGCATTTTAGGTAACAGTGATATCCAAGAAGGTTTATGTAATCTGTTTTAAGTTCAAATATTTTCATCTTAACATTTTTTAAACTTTACAGGATTTTAAAGGGTCTAACTATATTGAAAATAGTTGTCTCGGCCTTCTCTGCCTGCCCGCTCGGAAGAGAGAGACAGCACCGTCCTTGCACACAGTTAGGCCCGAAAGATCCAGAAACATGTCTATTCTGAAGGTTCACGCTCGTGAGATTTTCGACTCCCGTGGCAACCCCACTGTGGAGGTTGATCTCTATACCAAGAAAGGTGTTTTCAGGGCTGCAGTGCCTAGTGGTGCTTCCACCGGCATCTATGAGGCCTTGGAGCTGCGTGACAATGACAAAACACGCTACATGGGCAAAGGTGTCTCTAAAGCTGTTGAGCATATCAATAAAACTATTGCACCTGCACTGGTTAACAAGAATGTGAGTGTTCTGGAGCAGGAGAAGATTGACCAGCTGATGTTGGACATGGATGGAACAGAAAACAAATCCAAGTTTGGTGCTAATGCCATCCTGGGAGTGTCCCTGGCTGTGTGCAAGGCTGGTGCAGCAGAGAAGGGCGTGCCTCTGTACCGCCACATCGCTGACCTGGCCGGTAACCCTGAAGTCATCCTCCCAGTCCCTGCTTTCAATGTCATCAACGGAGGTTCTCATGCAGGCAACAAGCTGGCTATGCAGGAGTTCATGATCCTGCCTGTGGGAGCCAGCTGCTTCAAAGAGGCCATGCGCATTGGTGCTGAAGTCTACCACAACCTCAAGAATGTCATCAAGGAGAAATATGGAAAGGATGCCACCAATGTCGGAGATGAGGGTGGCTTTGCTCCAAATATTCTGGAGAACAAAGAAGCCTTAGAGCTGCTGAAGAATGCCATAGCCAAGGCTGGCTACACTGAAAAGATTGTGATTGGCATGGATGTGGCTGCCTCTGAGTTTTACAAAGGTGGAAAGTATGACCTGGACTTCAAGTCACCGGACGACCCTAGCCGCTACATCAGCCCTGACCAACTGGCGGACCTGTACAAGAGCTTTGTCAAAGATTATCCAGTGGTATCCATTGAGGATCCATTTGACCAGGATGACTGGGAGGCATGGAGCAAATTCACCGCCACAACCAGTATTCAGGTTGTGGGCGACGACCTGACTGTTACCAACCCCAAGCGTATTGCTAAGGCTGTGGCCGATAAGGCCTGCAACTGCCTGCTGCTCAAAGTGAACCAGATCGGCTCTGTCACAGAGTCTCTGCAGGCCTGCAAGATGGCTCAGAGCAATGGCTGGGGTGTGATGGTCAGCCACCGCTCTGGAGAGACAGAGGACACTTTTATTGCTGATCTGGTTGTTGGTCTCTGCACCGGACAGATCAAGACAGGAGCACCTTGCCGATCTGAACGTTTGGCCAAGTACAATCAGCTGCTTAGGATTGAAGAGGAACTTGGAGACAAGGCCCGTTTTGCTGGCCAGAACTTCAGGCACCCCATCTGAGCTGACAGTCTTCCTGACTGGGCCCCAGTGTGTTCATTGCTCATAAATAATCCCCACACATATACGCCACACTAGGTTGCCTGCCCCGTACAGGGAGAAGAAAGTGAAAAGAACACCACTTAAATCTAAGGTCCAAGTCTGTGGTCTGTGGCGTATATAAGCAACAGATGTCTTAGTACACCACAGCTCGGCTCATCCCAAACTCTGCTTAAGCGCCTGAGTAGTTATGTTCCTATGTTTGTGTCTGTATAACTGTGTGAGAGATTTTTGTTGAGCTTTTCGTGAGTTGTAGTGAATACTGCCT